CTTCCGTGTAAAGGGAAACCGTATTTACTTTCACCTCCCTAGACCATTTCTTTTTGAAGACGACTTGTCAGAACCTAATGTAGACGTTTTGGCAGAGTTGTTGTCTGTTGTGTGTGTTATCAGTGCTTGCCTGATAACAAAGGGAGCAAACAGTCATCTCCCCTTATACAGCTCCTCAGTCTTGGGCCACCTGATAATGACAAGCATCCCATACACCCCTCCATACAGGGCTGCACTGAGAGGACTCTGGATATGCTGTCTATATGGCCACCTTATAGCTGTGCGGGAGATGCACTGCTCCCTCCCTGCTGCCCAGCCGTGTGGCTTCTCCTGTGCTTGGATGCTCTTTCAGATGCAGCGGATGAATGTACTGACCAGTGCAGGAAAGAGGCAAAAGCAAATATAAACATGAGGGGCTGCAAAGCCTTTGCTGTCAGCTCCTCAGCATCTGAGTCGCGAGACGTCCAGGAGCTGCCGGGGAATTTGTGTGTGTGTCCTCAGCACTGGAGAAGGAAACGAGCCTTGTCTGTGTGGCTGAAGCTGCCGTCTCTTGCTCAAGGGTTCCTTGTGTTTCCATATGATAATGGATGTTATTGGAATTTGGAATTGGAATTCACTATTTAGGATTTGTGAAGTGTTAGTAACTGAATATACAAAGTCTCTAAATGATTAACATGCAAATGTTTATGCACTTGCACACTTCAAACTCCAAGCTTTAGCTCTACCGTCTTGTGCATCTCTTTTGATATTTGCTCTAAATAGAGTTCAGAGAGGTTTCTAGGATTTTGTTAGAACGTGAGCAATCTGAAAGATTTTTAGATTTCTGTCATTAGGAACTTTCCCAGGTCTTGCTTCCAATGTGACCTGGCGATGTGACCTCTGTTGAYAGAGAGCAAAGAGCTCCATGTTTAATATAAATGTAAAAAAGCTTCTGATTATCTGTCCCTTTGCATGAATAACTACAGCAGCTTGCGAATATGAAGGATTTGGCAAAGAGTCCAAAACTGAAAATCCTTTGCAGCAGCACCACGCTCGGATTAAGTTCCTGTGAAATCTTTCCTCAGTCACTAATTTCACACTCCAGGGATGGAACTGTGAGTAGTTCATAGCATCTAAATCTTGTTTCAATAACAACTTCCTTGAGCTTTAAAATGTTTGGGGGGTTCGTTGCCTTTTTTGATAAGAAAATAGTATGTAATTCCTCTGTAGTAAATATTGTAGGTTGTTAGACATTTTATTGTATAATTGTAGCACTCCATGGCTTTTTAGAAAACGTTGGAAGAATGAGGCCCAGAACATATTATTCTAACAGTGTGAATTCCTTACACTGTGGCTGTTATGTGCCGGAATGGCACTTAAAGTAGCTTATTAACATCTGCTTTGCCTTTATTTGGAAAATAAAACTTGCCATTGCAGTGGTATTTTCTGTGCAACTGGGGAAGGATGTCAAATGTCTACTTGAGAGTACTTACAGAAAAATATTATACAGAAGACTGGTAAAATCCATTTTGGATGTATTGCCTTGCTGAAAAGAAGGGTTCTCAGTAGTAGGATGAAATACCTGCTCATTTGAATAATCCAGACTGCCTGTATTTACCCTTTCTGAATCTGAGCAATGTTCTGCTTAGCTCTGAATTGGTGTTTATAGGCTGTTTTCTTCATTTTTTTTTTTCTCTTCAGTTTTTCTCCTCCTCCCTTCTTTCTAACRCACTGCACAATATTTAGGAGAATTTTAGTTCACATCAGCTGAAATTGGTGTAGGCTTCTGTGGAGACTGCAGGGCTATAATCACTTTCTTGATGTGCTSCATGGTTGATAAAATTTAATGTAACTTCTGTTAACAGATATTAGCTGGGGAAGGATCTTGTAAGGATTAGATGTTACAATAGATGCACTCTTAATGTTTACAGCTGGGCCTAAATGACTTGTGCGTGAAACAAATCCTTCTCRAGATGGCGTGTTTCTTGTTTTGTGTCCATCTACTTGCAGGCTTAAACAGGGAGATSATCTCTTTCCAGATTTGGCTAAGGGAAACGGGAAGAAATGGACGTTAAGAAGTGGGAAGCTGTTGGAGACCCAAGGAAATGGATACGCGCCGGGCTTGGCCTTTGGCTTGAGGCCTGGCTGAGCCCTGACTGAGGCTCAAATGGGGCTGGCTGAAATGCTRCGAATGCTGCATTTTGCCCTGAACAGGGAAAAGCATTGTCCTTTTTTTTTCTCCTCCATGCAGTGAATCAAGGACCATCCTGTTTCTGGAGAGATGAACGACAGTCTAATATTCTACATATGATGTTACTCTAGCTACATATCTAAAAGCAGCGGAGACTTTTGGTCACTTGATGTGAAGCTATGTCTGGCAACCATCTGTCTCACAAAGTTACTATAATTGTGGCAGTTATTCATTCACATCCAAGTCTGGGCTGATCAAAGTTCAAATGTTGACTATCTGCACTTGCATAGAAACTGGTTAGACATCAGTAACATCTGTGGCTTGGTTGTGTCCCGCCAATAGAGGACCAACCACTGGGCAAGAATGTTTCAATTTTGTTTCAATTTTGTTGAGTTTTGGTTTTAATTTAACTTTGTTTCCGAGATGCAGTTTTTGTCACTTTTTGATTGTTCCATCGCATCAGGTTGTAACAGTTTGAATTTCCTTCTGCTTCCCTTGCACTCTGTAAGGTTAGGTAGAAATGGTTTCATCTCTAGTAGGGAATGATTTGATTCGAGCTTCAGCCAAATATCTGAGASTAACAATAGCTACTACTTAGTAAAACCCTGATGCAGATTCCCCCTGACATGTCTGTGTCGTAAATTCTGCTGCTGCTTCCCATTTCTTCATGGTCTCCAAACCTTGCCTGAGGTACGTCGTGCATGCTGAGCTATGGGGGCCGACTGAGCTGTGCTTCAATTTTGTGATCATACATTTGTGATCCTATCTTGATGCTTTGGAAGAAGTAGGATGTAAATTGGATTTAGAAGATGATGATGCTGTTGACATATTGCTTTGTATATTATGGTTATTCAGAAATTGGTTACTCTTTAGGTTAGTTGTGTTGTCTCAGTCTGTTTCAGGTAGGTATTATTRGCATGCTGGTCGAACTTGATTTAAGCAGTGCTATTAACAGAAGTGTGCCGTTAACATTTGTATAAAACGGTATTTAATTGCCTGCATACTCATTAATTATATTACTGACTGAATCAAACTTCTGCTCATGGGTTTTTGCTTTCATTGCATCTGTAAGTTCTTTATGTACAATCACTTCAGTGCTAGCAATGCACACCATATCCTGGAAAAATCACATTTAAATGCAAACGCTGTTTTCTCTTGCATTGTGGGAAGAAGCTGAGACTGTTGAGCACTGATCCTCTGGATATGTTATAACCAAAATGTGCCTAATGCCAGAGAGTAGAACCTTAGAAACTTCTATCTTTGCAGACATTTACATCTCAAATCTGTGCTGTGTCTGTTGTGGRTGTTGCATGCACGTTGGTATATGTGCAAGCTATTGAGAATATAGAATGGATAAGGATCTAATCTATCAAAGACCCTTCATGTTTATAAATTCTTTTTTTCTTCTTTATGTTGTTTTACTATAGTAACAGYTTAAAACCAGGAATCTCAGGGGGCAGTAACTTTTAGGTGCATTTAGCTTCTTCTGACTTCTTTCTGTGCTCATATGTCATTAATTCTACTTATAGATGTTTGTTTTGGGTACTGGTGACTTCATAGCTACTATTTAAAAGAATTGGCATAGAGTGCTACGTGCGTAGGTCTGTGTGTGGTGGGCTTAAATTAGTGATTCTGTGTCTTAAGGCGAGACGTAGAGGCCCTGCTTGGGATGGCAACTTCTGTCAACTTAAAATAGCCAGTCTCCAAAACAGCCCAGCTAGGGTTGCGTAGTAGAGGTGAGAACTGTATTCATCACAGTTTTGCTTCAGTGAAAATTTGTTCGTCACTGTTACATGTTGTTTTAGACTCTTTGGATGCCTCCCTTTTGTTCTTCTTTCATCTCTGTACTGTGTTTCTGACACAGATCTGCTCAGCGTGTGCCCTGCGCGCTTGCAAAATACAAATGATCTCAAAACTGAGAGGCCTTGAGGCCACAATTAATGGGTACGTTTGCCTTGTAATGGAAAGATTTATAGCCGAATATTATAATCCTTGCAGTTATATGCTAAGTAGAGTGGCTCTTCATCAGGGTGATTGAAAGCTTACAAAGATGTTTTCTTTTGCCTGCAGGTAGCACATAAGGGACACCATCAGTCACTCGGCAGCGTGTGCGTCTCCTGCCCTCTGCATCCTCATGAGCTGGGCTTAGTTTTGTCCACGAGGTCGTGGTTCCTTGCATGATTATATGCAATTACACTAGGGAAAAATATAAGCAAAAAAAGCCAACTTYTGTGAATTATGACATACGTCACAATGCATGGAAAGGGGAAGGAAGGGAAATAAAGTGTGCRAAGTAGAAACTGAAAGCATCAGCAATTAAATCTTGTTGCAACTCTGAAAATCATTCTTATGTCTGAGAACAACTGCATTTCTTTTAATTGCTGTTAAATAGATTATTTGTTGCACTAGCCACAATTTAAAGAAATGTGGCTGAACTAAATTTCTAAATCCTGTTTCCAGAAGGATTTTTTTTCATTAGGGTTTTATTCTAACAAAAAATCGGGCTGCATAGAACAGTGGAGTGTGATGGGAACTGAGCATATAAATGATTACATTTGCTTTGAWTCTCCAGTGGAGTTATACAGTGCACACTCTTAAAATGTGCACAGTGATATCTCTAGCTCTTGTAACTGTTCTGCAGTGGTACTGTGGTAAAATATAGCTATGCTCGTTGAAATAGGGGCTTCAAAAAGCCTTTGCTCCTTCATTCCTTTTTAATTTGGGGTGTTTTCCCTTTCTGCTTCTATCTCCCTCTCCGCCCCACCTTGCGAGGGGCGGCAGGGGGCTATGGCCAGTGCTCTTACATACTCATTTTTCTCTCCCCTTGCAGTGCACGTTGCTTGCCCAACAGTTATTGCTTCGGAGCTGTGTGCACAGCCGTGATCTGTCCTTCCTTGATGTACTCAGTGAGTATAAACTGCTCCAAGGGGTGTTTAAATGATGCCAGTGGCATTAAGGAAGGGGAGGGAAATGGAGAGCAGTCGCAAAGCTTCGCGCTCCTTCCTCGTGGTATCTGTTGTTGTAGCGCGCAGCAGGACCTGACAGGCTAGGAAGGGAAAAGAAAGGCATTTCTTCCCTTATGTCTTTAAAGACAGAATGGGATTTTTAAAGGAATACGTTGGTGGAGGAGTTGCCCAGATCATTTTAGTTCTGTATTTCACACACTGTATATGTAAAGGCACTTATTTCAGTAAACAATTCCAAGCCTATTGTAAACAATCTAGGTCTGATACTCCTTTTACTAGTACAGCTGTTTAGATTTCAAGAAAAGGTCTCCTGGTCTTACATCAGGATAAATAAAATGCAGTTTGAACTTTAAATCGAAGAAAGGAGAAGGGAAGGACTGAACTTTATGCAGTGCTTTTATAGTAGTCCCCATGTTTCCAGCCCTGTTGGAACTTGATCCATCACAACTGCTGTGATGGAGCAGGGAGGCTGCGGCCTGGCCAGGCAGGGGCCCTGTGGAGGCTCTGGAAATGAAACTTTGTGCTGGGAAAGAGGTCCTGGCTTGGTGTAGCCTGGAGCAGTGCATCCATAAAGGCATGAAGAGGAGGATTAGGATGCCAAGCTTGACAAACAGAGCCTAGGTTCCCTAGAGCAGAAGAATGCAAGAGGAGCCCAAAATAAGAGACAGTGACCTTGAGAGGGAGAATATAGGAAAGAAAGGGATAAGACTGGCTGACTGGAGGACAGCATGCATTATTTGGAACAAATTATTTAATCTGTAAACTCAATCTTAGTTATCCTTTTTCTGTTATTACTAGTATCCATAAAACCCACTGATAAGTGTTTCCTTGTCCGAGTAGAAGATTGAGGCCCTGCGGTGAACTATCACGCATGGTATCAAATGTTGGGGATATTTTGAGCCTTGGCTTTTATTTTTCTATAACTTKTCTAACTTGTCCCAAAGAAAATCCGTATAGAGACAGAGGCATCAGCAATGAACAGATGTCTTTTCAGAAGTGGGTGTTTCAGGTAAGGGGCTTCTTCCACAGAAAAAGTTCAGGAGAAGCAATTTTCCATTGGCCAATTTTTGTTGGTCTGTATGTGTATTAAACAGTTCAAAACCACCTTAGAAATCAATTGTTGTACTTGCTGATCTTGCTGTAGTTTGAGTCATTTAGGAAAAACTGGGATTGTGGTGGTGTAGCTGGGGGAAAGAAGGGGAAAAAGATTGTGTTGGGATGTAGCAGAATGAATGTCTTAAAAAGAAGACCAGGTTTTCCAAATGTAGCACGAAGATTCAATGGATGTGATTAGTTTCTGTCATGTCATATACTTTCCAAATTTCTTGTAAGAGATCCCCTTGTTCRTTAATGTGAATTAGTGAATTTCCTCTGCTGTCTGGCATAATGGAAAAGTGGAGTCATGGAGTGATGTCTCAAATTACCTCCTGATGTTTTTAACATTCTTATTTGCAGAATGATAATCACTCTAAACCTGATGTTTGGTAATAGCAATACTCTAGCTATATTGGCCATTCATAATTGCAGTAAGCAATGTGTGTTCCAGGCATTGGGTGATTAATAATCCATTATGGTAACAGTAGGAAGTAGCAGCATGCACTTATAGCAATGATAGCAGTTCCTCAGGTGGACTACATGTTCAACTGCAGAATGGAGTATGAATGCAGCTGTTGTAACTTAATTTTTTGTATTTATATATTGTATGTGAATGTATTGGAGCTTGTAAAGAAGAAAAAAATGTTTGCATGCCCCTTCTCTCTTCCTTTTACTTTCTCTCGTGTATATAATGCTGTTGTGACTTTATTCTGTAAACATAAATATTGTGTGATGAAGTTCTAGGGTAAAGGTACTTGACAAACTGTATAACATGACAAATGAAAGTTGCTGAAATTTAATCTTGATGTTTATGTACAAACATTAATTCAGAGCTAGACTTCAAGTCTGAACATATTTTTCTGTAGTGGCTACAGGGATGACAAATATTTCTCACATCTCTACCTTATTTCCATACAAACTAATTGCAGAAGATATGAAGGAAAGTCTGCATTTAATTGCTTCTTTCACCTACCTTTCTTGCTGGTTTGTAATCTCAGAATTCTCCAGCAGCTGCTGTGAGGTGCTTTCTTGCCAGAGAATCCTCAGCGGTACAAATAAATAAAAATGATCAAGAATTCTTCCAGAAAAACATGTATTTTTGGTTCCTTCTTAGTTCCCTAGTCCTGTGCCCATTCCTCTGGTGAGGAGACTTAATCAAACCTTCTCCAAGTTCTACAAGTTAGTACCATCTTTCTTCTTGATCATAAATGTGGTCTGCATAAACAATTTACTGTGGCCTGGATAGACTCTGGCACTGGAATCCTCATGCCATGTTAAGTAGTTCTGGAGCAATCAACTTCAGCAGTTCAGTTACTGTCTACTCGGAGTATATTTTTTTTATATTTCCTCAAATCTTAGCAATATATGTAGACTTTATTACTCATTCTGTAGCTTAGACATTCAACTGTGAGTAASCAAAATAATATGCAGTTGCTTTATGTGAAATACCTTGTAAAAATGAATTTAAACTTGCCAAGAAATACAAAAAGACTCCGTTCCCTCAGGGAAAGAAAGTGGATGAATACTTACATTTCATACAGATGGTTTTCATCATCTTCATTATTTCAGAATTGGACAGGATTTGACTTTGGAAAACATGGACTGTTCTACAGATTTTATGACGTTTCAGTGAGGCTTGGGCTTCTCTGTTTGCTTCATGTGCACTCTTCAGTTTTTTCCAATGTTTTACAGTGCTAGATGAATCCTGACCTTCCAGTGCTGTGTCCATTAAAACATTCATCAAATACACTTACTGCTTTCAGATGATCTGGGCTACACTATTTTGGCTAGAAAAAGCTTTTAACTGTGTCATAGGAAGTACCAGACTCCCGAGATGCATGGCTGGTTGACAGCTTTTGCTGGAATAACAAAAAAAATGGAATTACTTCCTATTTGTAAGGAAGGAACATGTATCTTTCAAATGAAGGAGAAGGCAGTAAAATCCAATGACAAATATTTCAATAGTTCAATGTGCAGYGTTACAAACCTGTGATTCTGAGTCACCGATTAGTGCAAAAACTTCAAAGAACATCCTATCTATGGTAGCAGTAAAGGATTAAACGTATTTTCATTTTAAGGAAGATAGGGGTGTTATGAATATTAACAATGTTTAACAAATAGCAGGTTTCACAGCATGAAGGGTGCAGATAAGACATTGACTGCAACTTCCACTTTCTAACACCCTTCCCCAAAAAGAGCACTACTGTGGTCACAGATGACAGGCAGATAGAGAAATAACTGAGTCTTTATGAGATAGCTTGTTCGTTTTCTTTTAGTCTCATCTTGTGTATATTTTCATGAAAACTCAATTATATAGCATGACTATTTAAAACTAAGGTTGAACTAAGCAAATTTAGCAAGTCCTAATTAATGTTGTCTAAGCTCGATTTAATCTAGAAGTTTGGAGGGGGGCATATTTTTGATATTCTATACAATAGAATGGAGGATACTCGGTGTTTATAATTCAGAGCAACATTTTCTCATGGGTTCGTGTCAGTATGGGCTGTCAAAYTGAACAAAAAATATTGCTGAGCAAATACTGAATTCTATCAGCCTGCCTGAATTTGAATTTCCTGAGATGACTCAAGGGCAAGGTAAATCTCTTTCACAAAGATTATGATGTTCCTGTGCTGTGGTCAACAAAATGTACTAGAATCTTCATACGCAGTAGAAAACAGCTTCCTGAACTGAGGAGGGCCCAGGGAGGGAGACAGATACAAGCAAAATATTTTCTTCCCACTTTTTTTCTTTGCTTACAAGAAGAGATTTCATCTCCTCTTGCTTCTTTTAGGGACTGTCATGCAGACCTTCTGTCCTCTGACTGAGGAAGGAAAGAGGAGTGTTCCTGCCTGGCTGCCAAGCCAACCCAGTGCATGTTCCCTTCCCGAGTAATGAGTCTGTGGTAARTTCGTTAGTACATCTGAGATAATGCAAGATTACTAACCAGTGACTGATGGAAAGGAGCCTTTTTTGGAGGGCATTCCATTTCATTTGCTCATATTGCCTTTCATGCAAATCTGGAGAACATTGAGTTCAAATTTACTTCTTGCAGAAATGATTAGAGGGTAAGAACTGTTTAATAACTTTATTTTATTGCTTTCAAACACCACCACAAAGTGAACAGCACCAATTCAGAAACTTGCTCTCTCTTTCTCCCTCTCTGAAAAGTTGCATTCCTACCTCTTGGTACGTTGTCTTCTCATCATCTCCAGCATTCAAAGCTACTGTATCRTCACTTCTTGACTAAATCGGTAGTGTGATCCTCAGCTACCACAGCAAATGGGAAGGCAAAGCTGTGATATAGGCTGAAAAAAATTAACTTGCAGAGCGCAGCATCTTACTTGCTGTCTAATCACCCTTCAACTTTGTTAGTGCTGTCTTTCATAACACGTTTGTAGTGGTGTCTCCTATGTGTGTTCTGAAAGCTGATGGCTGCATTTGACTAATATTTTTCAAACTCTGTGGACTATTAAGTTCTTGTTATCCTTGGCGGGGCTTCGCATCTTAGACTGTAGAGATCTGCCTCTTCAAAATTAATTCGGCCTTTCCTTGAGTCTGTTAGCAGGAATAGATGCGGTCAGTACAAAGGACGAGAAAGTGCAAGGGTCAGGTGGCCCAGCCAGAAAGCCCCGCTTCGACAGGGGAAGACAGTCTCTTGTATGCTCTAAAGTACCCCTTCGAGATGATTCTCATTAACCTTCCTCGTTTGCTTCTAGTTATTATTGTAAAGGCAACTTCCACTTCTTAGATAATACTTTGTTGCATATTTAGYTGGGGTTTATGTCATGATTACATTAGGCTAAAGTCTTGTTCCTGTTTATACTTAACGAAACTCTTCACATCAATAAACAGCTTATCAATATGTGCAAAGGGTTCACGGTTTAGTTCACCGGTAATTTCTGCATGTAACTTCTTGCCTGCTCTAAACATCTCTGCTGGAAAATGATAYGAGCTTTCCCTTCTATGAGGTATGACTAGGAGAACAAAGCACATGGTAAAGTTAAATCACAGCCACAAAACGKCTTCCTGACTCATTCCAAGGAGAGTTAGATATTCTGCTCCTCCTGTGAGTGCTGGAAAGTCCCTCCCTTGCTGAGAGGGCGTCCTGAAGCCATCTTCTGCTTTAGCGTTATAGCAAGCAGTCAAAAATAGATAACTGTGAACATAAACATGCTTGCACCGTAAAAGCCCTCATTTTTGAAGCAGGCTAATTTTTGAAGTGGGCTGCACTGCTCAGTAAATTATGGTCCATAGGGATTAAAAAAAAAAGTTATGGTATGGGAGTCTAACATTGAGGAAACAAAACGTCCTAGTTGGACTTCCATGTAGAAAACAACTGCATGATTGTTTTACGAAGAATATTGATATCTCGTACTGAGGGCTGCCTCAGGTGAATTGGGTGTCTGGGCTGCAATGATGCTTTCTCTCTCATTTTTAAAGATGACTCCTAAGTTAGAGGTCCTGGTTTCCTGGAGAAACCCAATTCTTAAGTTCTTTGTGCTGTTTTGGCTRGTTTAACTTTACAAAAATGAGGAGAAATATAGTTGGTCATTATGAAGGTAATAGGCATCGCGTTTGAATGTTTGGCTAATGAGGAGTWAGCGCATTTTGTTTATAGGCAAGTGCACTTGAAAGATTGTTAGAGCTAACTAATAATGAATGATGTTCTAGCTGCACTTGTTTTGGAGTCTTGTAGCAAGGAAGCTAGAAAAAGTAAAAATTTCTCCGTAAAGCCWTGCTGTAGTGCTTGGCAGCTGCACATGTGTTGGGATGCGTGGTTGCCCAGCTTTGAGAAGATAGATACTCAAAGGTCAGCCTGCACAGCAATCTGCTGCCCCACGTGAATCTGGTTACGGATCACTGTGAAAGACATATGTAATAGGTATAGTCAAGGAAGGTTTTGTGTTTAATTTTTGTCTGCATTGAATGCTTAATTTTGAGCATAGAATCATTATGGCTGTAAAAGACCTTCAAGATCATGAAGTCTAATTGCAGCTCCTACTACCACAGCCTGGCTGTGATGCCTCAATGATCATAACAACCTCCTGGCCTCCTTTCTTTCATCTGCCTGGAAGCTGATCTTTGAAAGATAGTGGGAGAAGGAATGGCAAGATATGCATTTTATCTAGGCTGTAACATAGGCCATTTAGCACATTGCAGCATTAGAAAAGATACTGAGTTTGTGATATGTTATCAAAACAGTCTAGGGTGGAAGCAAGTGAAAATTCATTAATGACAGTTAAATTTTRTGGTTAAAAACACTTAAAGTTGAGTAGCCACTCAGTATACTTCAAATGCTTGTATTGACCTCTTGTTCCGATCAAATATTTTAAATATTATGGCCTTTTTGCAGTAGTTTCCCTAGTTACTGGATTTTTTTATTCACCTTTCATAGTGAAATTCTTTTTTGAGTTTATACTGTGCAGTGCTAATTGTAATTGGCTTAATATATGGKGGACTTGTGCTCTGATCACTGTCATGTGTCCTTTACAAGTTTTGGAAGTACAGCCTAAACCCTCAAATGGAAAAATTCATGTTAATACAAAAGCACCTCTTTAAGTCTTCAAAGATGCAAAAGAAAGCATCTCTCTCAAGAGAGTGTAACAAGAGGAGGTCTAGAGCTGAACTTAATTACATTAATGCTCTTTGAATGTTAATGGTGAGATCTGAAGCCTGCCACTTTTTCCTGTAATAAAGAATATTGTTAAAGAATAAAATTGTGACTTCCTATGTTCCCTACTGTGGATACCTTAATATTTTGAAGATGTTAGCTGCCTAACTTGTATTTTAAAGAATACAAACCATAATAATTAGAAACAAAACTGTTTGTATCTAATTCTGAATTATTGTTATGCAAAGTTCTTGTTCCCTTTTCTGCCAGAATGATTTAGCCTTCTTGGCTTATCTTGTCCTAGTCCAGCTGCAGTTTCTGTAGATGGGGCCAGTGATGTGGAGTACAGGCAATCTTAGTCCTCATGCATCATCTGCAATATTTGTGTCCATCCGAGATGTCTCAGGTGCAGGAATGAACAGATACAGTGTAACTTGGAAATAGTACATAAGAAGGAAAATAGGCTTCTATGAGTTTCTAATTGCTTATATATATATGTATATTTACTTCAATGCATACTGCAAAATAGAAGGACATTGACTTGTTAAGAAAACAGATTGTTGATGTTAATTACCTAGCCTGAAGTTCATCCAAGGTGATTATGGTTCTTGACTCAACTGAACGGCCAATTTAAGTGTTAATGACAGTCTAGAGACGCCACATTGTCCACGAACTGTGGAGTAGGAGTATTTTGTTCACGTGTCCTGGTCTCAGGGTATGTACCTTGCTTGCATCCTGACTTCCAGCCCCAGATGTTAAGCAGAAAAAAAGGGGCACTGAAGTGGATGTGGGAGTCGGGGCGGTTTAGACAGATTTTGTTCAAAAGACTGTCAGGTGGTATCTATCTTTTTCAGTTATTTGTGCCCTGATGAAGAAGTTTGGTAAATATATGTAAGTGGTTTCTTACCTCTGTATAGCATAAAGTGGAACTTTTGTCAAGCTCTAATCCGAATAAAGCTGTACAAGGAATGTACCTCCAGCAGCGCCAGGCCGGGAGGTGCAGGTGAGGCCCAAGGGAACTTGCTTGCCTGAGGAAGCAGCCAGTGCTACTGGCAGCAAACCCCTGCTGCTTGGCACTGCAGTCTTCTGTGTAAGCCAATAATATTCATAAACCAATCCAAATTCTGAGAAGTTTCAGGTTTTAAAGTGTATGTGTCAAGGTAAGGGAAGTGGGTCAGAGTGCTTATGCCTAAAAATACTGTAAACTACATCAAGTAGGATTGTTTTGTTTAATAAATGGATTTTATTTCTAAATTTCAAGATTATAATTTCTGAAGTATCCGTTACACATTTTTGGTGCTGTTTTGCAGAGGATGGAGGCACCTTGGYTTGAGCTCGTTTACTGTCGTGCAGCCTTTTCTGTGTGCAGATGTGCTCCCTTCTGCCACGCTGCTGAGCCCTGCTCCCCCTGCCTCTGTCTCAGCATAGCGAATTGGGAGYGCACAGCCAGCATCAGTCAAAGTTTGTGCTTGGATTAATTAGCTTTGCTCAGACTCAGAGTTCATTAATTGCATCTGGTAATGTGTTAATGTGCTCACAGGGCTTGTGTTGCTGCCCAGCACTGTGCTGTGGCATCTAAACCCAGTCGGACGCAGCCCGTTGCAGCAGAGTGTCCTACTTAACCATGTCACTTAGCTCGTCTTAAGGCRTTTTTGCTGTTGAGTCAAAACTTTACTAGACCCAGCTCTGCAGGGGAAATGCKCGTGCTGCTTGGGATGGGGCTTCTYGGGAAGCTCGAGGCTTGCCTGGGTTTGCTCTTGGGGCAATTCAGTTGCAGAGGGTAAAATCTGAATCGAGTGTCATGTCTTGTACTTGTCTTCTACAGTGTGTTCTAGCTATTTTATTTGTTTTTGTTTATAGTAACAGTTATGTAAGTAGCAAAAAAAAACACTATCAATGGACAAAAATTGTAGATTATTCTTTTTTGGGTTAATTGGTGTATTATGTATTTTGTGTTGGTGAAAGTAGCTGTAAGTACATGTAATAAAATCAAGAGAACAAGTAAAATGAAAGCTGGAATTCTGCTATAGTTTACAGCTTTTTATCTGACTGCTGAGGCAGGTTACTCTAGCACAGTATTTAATTTCTTATGTTTTTCAGCTATGCTGTCTCAACCTGTGTTTTCCCTCCTCCAGCAAAATGTATTTGGGTGAGGAAGAGGATGTCAGGGGTCCTACTTATTTAGGATCCTTTGGTATTTTTTTACTAGGATAGGCATAGTAGAAATGTGATTTTAATTTTTATTCCTTGGTCTACCTAGTGCAACAACGCTTTCTATTTTTACTGATAAA